ATTCCAGTCTCGTGTGAAAACAGTTCATGTGTTCCTTGCATGGGTTTTCTTACTTGTTGCGTGTGCTTCTCACTGTTTTTGAGTGGCCTTATGATCATTTTCTGAATTATTTCTTTAAGGCTGTTTCTCAGTCCCTTCATCTTCACCTTCTCAGGTGGTTTTTGTGCTCCTTCGGGAGCTTCTTCCTCATTCATCTGCCTTTATCCGTGGGTGTGTCAGTACAGATTGGTGGCCTTTCTTTCATTGTTTTTATCTTTGAACAGGTCCCTGTGGTTTCCAGTTGGGACAGATCCTCTGCTGGGATTCCGGGGTGTGTGGTGGGAGTAGTCCCTGTCCCTGGGTCAGTGCTGCAGTGTGGGGTGAGAGTCCGGGCTGCCACGGAGGTTGGGCTGTTGGGTTGCCTCGCTTGTCCTCACTGGGGAAGCAGCCATCACACCTGTCAGTGGAACCAGAATCTCTTCTTGACTCCTCAGGAGCTGTAATGCCCACCACACCGGGCCAAGTGCCAGGTCAGGGCATCTGTAGGTCTGTGTGCACCTTGTACCCAGCTAAGCACTAGGCCCTTGTGTATAGTAACAGAATTCGCACAGATGCTGTGTACAGAACGTCACAGTGAGCCGGGGCTGAGGCGCTTGTCACTCAGCTCCTTCTGCATGGGAATAGAGGAGGCTTGTTCCCCTGCCTGCTATTACAGGGTCTGAGCACACAGCTCCCTGCTCGCTCTCCATTCCAGTCTCCAAGGCTGTGGCATCAGCTAATGCTGCTCATTTCTTTATTTTAATTAATGAACTAATGAATTAATTAGAACCTGAGACCACAGACCCATTTTCTTGACATAACCCGCAAAATACATTTGTGGTATAAGATTAAGTGGCTGCCTCGTGGAGAGCCATGTGTGAGCTCACGTCATGCTGGGCACAGCTCCAAGACTTGGCAGTCTTGGGACGCCTTGGGGAACCAGGGTGGAGTCTCGGCCACTCTGACCTGGCATCCACCAAGATGCCACCTGCTGCAGACTGATCCAGCGCTCTGCAGGGGCACTGGGAACCTGGGTGTATAGGTCACCCAGGCACCTCACTGCCCTTTCTCAGCTTGCTTTGATCATGGGATCCGCAGACCCTGCAGCTTCCCAGGTCAAGAATGTCTCCCACACGGCTGCCCCTCCCACCTTTCTGCTCCAAAGTTTAAGTGGCTGTTCGCCTGCAGGGACGTCACTCATGCCGCAGATGCTCTGTCACACTGTCCTTTCTGCTTCACATTTTTTTTCGTGTCCTCTATAGTTTCTCTGCCACCGAGGTCTCTGCTGTAACTGTCTCCCTCCTCCGTGCTAACCCTTCCCGACTTTACCCTATTTGACCTAAGGAAAATCTCTATATATTCAGGAATATCACAACTCCCACAATGCTTTGTGAGTCCTTCTAGCAAATGGTCAAGAGTGAAGATGTTTGGGGAACTGTAGCTGGTGTGAGCGGTGGAGGCAATCTTGGGAATTGTGCCTTCCCATCTTGCAGTTTGGCTAGCTCTGAAAAGGCTTGCTGGCTCTCTTGCTTAACCCACTATCCTCTCTCCCCTCCTGCCACCTTCTTCTCCCTCCCTCCCCTCTCATTTGTGGCATAGTTAGGGCCTGAAATGCTTATTCTTTCAAAAATATGAATCTTAACGTCTTGTCTATAAGTGCCGCTGAAGCAAGCACAAGTGTTGACATATTCTGAACTTAGTACTATGAGCTTTATGCCAATATATTTGACAACACGGATGAAAAATGAGTTATTCCCTGAAGAGTTATTTTATTTTTTTACTTGAAAGGCAGAGTTAGAGAGGAGGAGAGATCTTTGATCCTCTGGCTCACACCCCAGTTGACTGCGATGGATGGAGCTGGGCTGATCCAAGTCTCCCATATGGAGCCCAAGCGCTTAGACTGTCGTCCTGTGCTTTCCCCGGCCCCTTAGCGGGGAGCTGGGTGGAAGTGGAGCAGTCAGGACTCCAACCAGTACCAATATGGGGTGTCAGTGCTGCAGGCAGAGGCTTGATATACTGGCCCTAAAATGAGTTCTTTTAAAGATACAAACTACTAGTTTACTCATGAAGAATGGATAAACTACACAAAGTCACAACTCTTAATGAAAATGAACTTATAAATGAAAGCTTTAACTTTTGAAAGTTTTTGTGTTCATAAAAGAAAAGCCAGATTCATTGGTAAATTCTACCAAACATGGAGGAAGATAAATCTAGATTTAAATGCATTGTTCCACAAAGCTTGAATATTAAGAGGGACCTCTCCTCAACTCATGCTAGGGGGCAAACATTTCCCTGATAAGAGAATTAAATTAAAGCAGAAGGGAAAAAAAGTCCTAAAGACCAAAGACTCTTGTGAGCATAAATGCAAGCATTCTCAACAAAATTTGGCACATAAAATCCACTGATAGATGAAGTTGGTAATGAGTCTTGTAAATATTGGTATTTACTCTAAGAATTCCAAGGTGGTTCGACATTTGCAAATGAATCACGGCAGTGCACATTAACATTAAAAATGAAAAAAACGTGATTATCTCAACTACAGCACAAAACCTTTGACAATATTCAAAACTCATTCTTTTGGAAAGAGAAAAGCAGCAGCAGAAGGGGGCTTTGCAGACAGCACATCAGGGCAGCTGCTAGGAACTTTCAGCTCATGTACTTGTGAAAGTGAGATGCCTGCCCCGTAGGGTGAGGAACAAGGCAAGGGTTTCCACTCAGCTCCTTATCATTGATCTGGAAATCCCAGCCAGTGCAATATAAGACAAGGAAAAAAAAAAAAAGAGTGCCTTCCCCAGATTGGAAAGGCAACGTTAACTAACTCCACGTTTACAAACAACATGACCATATCTATATAAAATCCTGAGAAACCCCAGGAAGATGTTATAAGGTTGCAGAATATGTCGTTTATAAAAATTAGCTGTATTTTTCCAATATTTCAGTGAAAAATAAGATATTCAAATTTTAAGCAGTGTTATGTCCAACAGCTTCAAAAGTATGAAATATGGATAAATTCATAAAACATTTGTGAGGAGCCCTCAAAAATCTCATGGAAAATACATATTATGGGACGCGGCACAATGGCCTAGTGGCTAAAGCTCTTGCTTTGCATGTGCCAGGATCCCATATGGGTATCAGTTTGTGTCCCAGTTGTTCCACTTCCCATCCAGGTCCCTGCTTGTGGCCTGGGAGACCAGTCAAGGATGGCCCAAACCTTGGGACCTTGCATCCATGTGGAAGACCTGGAAGAAGTTCCTGACTTAAGGTCAACTCAGGTCCAGCTCAGTTTCATTTTTCCATAAACTTTTTCAGGTTATACACTGAAAATGACAAAGCATTGCTGAGGAAAAAAATAAATGGAGACATATACCATGTTCATTGATCTAAAGACTTAATGTTAAGATCAATTCTCTTCAGATTTGTTTATAAATTCCACAAATATCAATATAAATTCCAGCATCATTCTGTTAGAAATTGACAGACTGACACTAAATTCGATGTGAAAATAGAAAGGACCAATCAGGAACTAGGAGGGTATGAAGTGCTAATCTACATGCAAGCTATGAAGTTACTCTGCAGTGGCTCCATGGTTTGTACATGACAACATTAAAAATGGTTTGCTATAACTAGGTTATAGTCAGACATCAAACATGGTTTGCTGTAACTAGGTTTCCACTCCTCAGTATTTGTCCAAGAAAAATGACAACATACATGGTCATAGCAACTTGACTAGAAGTAGCCCCAAACTGGCTGGCATTGTGACATGGCAGGTTCAGCCCCCACCTGCAGCACTGACATCCCATATGGATGCCGGTTTGAGTCTTGGCTTCTCCACTCTCCATCCAGCACCCAGCTAGTGCACCTGGGAAAGCAGCAGACAATGACCCAAGCCATGGGGTCCCTGCCCCCTACAAAGGAGACCAGCAGAGTTCCTGGCTCCTAGCTTTAGCCGGCCCAGCCCAGACTGAGCACATTTGAAGAGCAAACCAGCGAATGAAATATTTGTCTCTTTCACTCTAACTCTGCCTTTTGGAGAAGTAAAATGAATCTTACAAGAAAGAAATAACCCCCTGAACAACTCAGATGTGCTTGAAATGGGAGACACATTGTAGTATTCCCTCCTGGTTGACTGTACACAGCCATAAAAGGGGATAAACTGTGCATGTTTGTCATAGCATGGATGAGTTTCAAAATAATCTTGCTGTCTAAAAGTTAGAAAAATACTTTGTGTTATTTCATGTACATAAAATTCTAGAAAATGCTAGCTAATTCATAGTGAAAGAGAGCAGGCCCATGGTTGCCTAGGGAGGGAGTTGCGAGGATGGAGACGTGATAAGTACAGGAGGTTGAGAAAATGTGGTGGGGAGATGCGCGGTCATTCGGATAACTTTGACAGTGGTGATGATTTCCCAGAGTATACACGTCAAAACTCAAACTGTGCAGTTTAAACATACGGAGTTGACCTGTGCTTTTCCAACTGCTTCCTCAAGTTCACTACCTAAGATTTACGTGGGCATCCCACTATTTCTTTTTTTTTTAAAGATTTATTTTTATTATTTTTTTATTGGAAAGGCGGATATACAGAGAGGAGAGACAGAGAGGAAGATCTTCCGTCCGATGATTCACTCCCCAAGTGAGCGCAACGGGCCGATACTATGCCGATCCGAAGCCAGGAGCCTCTTCCGGGTCTCCCACGCGGGTGCAGGTTCCCAAAGCTTTGGGCCGTCCTCGACTGCTTTCCCGGGCCACAGGCAGGGAGCTGGAAGGGAAGCGGGGCTGCCGGGATTAGAACCGGCACCCATATGGGATCCTGGGCGTGCAAGGCGAGGACCTTAGCCACTGCGCCACCGCGCCGGGCCCCATCCCACTAGTTCTAACATAACTGATTGCTTGTCTCGCAACATGTTCTTTATCTCATGACACTGTTAACATGTGCAGTAATAGCTTCTTTCTTTCTCATGTACTTTTCTTTCCAATATTCCTAGTATGCTCTGTTAACCAAAAGAAACGCCATTGAAAAGTTTGAAAAACACATAGCCATGAAAGAAAAACAGCTCATAAAAGCAGAAAAAAAGCTCCAAGATGATGCAATGGCCTTTGAAGAATTCCTTCGGGAAAATGACCAAAGATCCGTAGAAGCTCTTAAAATGTTAGTTTCTATATTATTCCAACCCTTCCTGTTACTCTAACCTTTTCTATTGTTGGTGTTTTTTGGTTTTGTTTTTTGCTTTTTCTTTTCTTTTTTTTTTTTTACTCTTTTTTAAAGTTTCTCACAATGTGACACAAAATGAAACATGAATCTCTATTAATTTGCAGCGCAGCACAGGAAACCATAAGCAAGCTCCAAGTGACCGCAGAGCTCAAGAAAGCCAGTATGGATGTGCAGGCAGTGAAAAGGTGAGGGGCGGGGGCGCCGGGTTCCCCCTCATGTTCCCGTTCCCCCTCATGTTCCCATATCCCGGGAAGGCTGGCAGTGGAGCCGGCATTTCTGCGGTAGTTAAGACACTCCTTGGGAAGCATGTGTTCCAAGTTGGAGTCCCTGGTTCAAGTCCCACCTTGGCTTTCTACACCATTTCCTGCTAATGTGCACTGGGGGAGGGTTGCAGGGGCTGAAGCAGTGAAGTCCCTGGTGCTCCACGGGAGACCCGGATTGGACTTGAGGCTCCTGGCAGTGGCTTGGCCCAGCTCCAGCTCCAGCTAATGCAGGCAGTTTGTCGTAGCTTGACAACAGGCTATTCAGAGATTCAGTCACTTACTTACTCCTCAGGGTGAAGATATCATGGCAAGTAGAAAATAATAAGGAAATAAACAACAACAACAGGAAGAAGAAAAACAAGAGACCTACCTTTCCTTGGGAGCATAAACAAAGGCTGTCCACACGAACCATATCCCAGGCTGTCCACCTGTGGGTGACGGCTTGTGCTCTATCGTCACAGATCAGGGAAGGCAAATGGTGTTATCAGTCTTTTTGGAACTGGCTTTTTTCACTAAGCATAATGGTTTCCAGTGACCTTGACTTAGTTGTGAAAAGACAGGATTTCATTTCTGTCTTGTGGCTAAGTAGTATTCCATAGCACGTATATCCCACACTCTTGATCCAGTCACCCGTGGGTGAGCATCTAGGCCGACTCTTGTGAATTGAGTTATTATCTCTGCGAGGGGACAGATGACTCTCTCATGTGCTGAGTTCATCTCGTGGATAAATTCCCAGGAGTGGGATAGCTGGATCATATGGTTGATCTATTTTCAGGTACCTGAGGAAGCTCCATCTTGTCTTTGGTAATGGTTGCACCGGTTTGCGTCAGGATGACTTTGGCCCACGTCCTTGCCAGCATTTACTGTTTTCTGATTTCTGCATGGCAGCCATGCTGAGGTGACGGGTAACCCCACTGTGGTATTTATCTGCGTTTCTGTACTGGCTAGTGAGCCTCAGCGTTTTGTTCGTTTCTGTTGGCCGTTTGACTTTCATCATCGAGAAATGCCTGCTTACGTCCGTTGCCATTCTTTACTGTTTTGATATTGTGTTTGAGATCTTTATAGATCCCGACTAGTAATCACCTCTCAGTTGTGTGGTTTGCAAGTATTTGTGCCATTCAGTTGGACACCGCTTCGCTTTGGTTTCTTTGCAGTGCAGAAGCTCCTTGCTTGATGCAATCCCACTTGCTCCCGTCTGCTCTCATTACCTGTGCTCTGGGCTCTTGTCCGAGAAGCTTTGGCCTCCGCCTGCGTCCTGCGGCGCATTCCCCTTGCTTTCCTCTGGTGATTTGAGTATAGCAGGTTGTGGATGCAGATCGTTGAAGCATTTTGTAAAAGCTCTAAGGCAGGGCTGTCGTTTTACTTCTGCACGCCCTAGATCCATGAAGAGTCTGTCCTTTCCTAGATGAATTCTCCACTTATCCAGAACCAAGTGAGCTGTACATGTGTGGGTTGGTTTCTGGGATTCATATTCTGTTCCCTTGATATTTTGGGTCAGTATCATGCCATTTTAATTACACAGTGTACATCTTGAAGTCTGCGACTATAATTTCTCCAGATTTTCGTTTACAGTTGCTTTAGCTTTTTGTGGTCTCTTGTGTTTGCATATGAATTGGAGCATATTTGTCTAGGTTTGAGAGGAATGTCACAGATACTTTGATTGGGGTTACATTGAATCTGTAAATTGCTTTTGGTAGTATGGACACTTTGATGGTATTGATTCTGCCAATCCACAAACACGGAAGGTTTTTCCATGTTTGGGGAGTCTTTTTTTTTAAGATTTATTTTCAAAATTTATATCTTTTTAAAGATTTATTTCATTTTTATTGCAAAGTCAGATATACAAAGAGGAAGAGAGACAGAGAGGAAGATCTTCCATGTGCTGACTTACTCCCTAAGTGTCTGCCATGGCTGGAGCTGTGCCGATCCGAAACCAGGAGCCAGGAGTCTCGTCTGGGCCTCCCATTGCTGGTGCAGGGTCCCAAGGTCTTGGACCTTCCTCAACTGCTTTCCCAGGCCACAAGCAGGATGGGAAAGCAGGGCTTCCAGGATTAGAACCGGTGACCATATGGGATCCCAGCGTGTGCAAGGCGAGGACTTTAGCCATTAGGCTACCACACCGGGCCCCAAGTCCCTTCCTTGCAGCTCAGATTGTTGTCTGCTAGGTATCACTGACGCACACACCTGGCAAAAGTCTGTGGGAATTGTGCCCAGCCATGGCAGGACCGGGTCCTTGTGAACTCCTTAGTCCTCCGCTCTACAGGTCTTCAGCTACCTTTGAATTTCTCCTTGTGTTTACAGCATAACACATTATTTTTGATAAACAGAAATACGTAAGGTGAAACTCATCAGTCTATTATATGTGGGCGTGGCTTTGGGTACCTTTGATCCATGTGGCATTCCTATAGAAGCCTGTATTTTGTTTTTGTTTTTTTTTTTTTATAGCTATGTCTGTCTTTCTGACAGTCCATTATTCCATGATGGACTGGATTTATAAATTATTGTTCTGGCTGAACATGGTTTTTTTTACAGATCTATGTAACATAGACCTTTGTTTCTTTCGAATAGTGAAATAGCAAAGGCAGAGTTCGTGCTGAGGGAGTACATGAAGTACGGGCTTTTCCTGCTGAAGTTATCCCCGAAGCCTTGGCAGGTGCAGCAAGCCCTCAAGAGGGCGCAGGCGCCCAAGGGCAAGGAGAGCGTCATCCTGCCAAAATTATTAGCAAGTAAGTCCTGTATCCTCAGCTGCCACTAACGCTAATGTTCATGCCAATTCTAAAAATATTCTGCTTTGATCTCTTTTTTTTTACTTATATTGTCTCAAATAGTTTTGAAGGTGTTTTCTTTTTTTAAGATTTATTATTATTATTTTTTTTAATTCGAAAGTCAGATTTACAGAGAAGAGAGACATAAAGATCTTCTATCTCTTGGTTCACTCCCCACGTGGCCACAAGAGCCGGAGCTGAGCTGATCTGAAGCCAGGAGCTTCTTCCAGGTTTCCCACGTGGGTGCAGGGTACCAAGGCTTTCGGCCGTCCTCCACTGCTTTCCCAGGCCACAGGCAGGGATCTGAGTGGGAAATGGAGCAGCTGGGACATGAACCGACACCCATATGGGATCCCAGCGGCTCTAAGGCAAGACTTTAGCTACTAGGCTACTGCATTGGTCCTGTTTTACGTTGTTTTGTTGTTGTTTGTCTGTTTGTTATTTATTTATTTGAAATGCAGACTTAGAGGGAGATCTTCCCTCCACTAGTTCATTCTCTGAGTAGCTGTGAGAGTCAGGCCTGGACCAAGCAGGGAGCTGGATGGAAAGTAGAACATCCAGGACTCAAACCAGCACTCCACATGGGCTTAGCTGCTGTACCACAACACCAGCCCCATGTTGTCAGAGTTTCTAATGCAAAATTTGGACAAAGATTCCTACTATCTTTGCGGTTATCTATTATTAATTTGAAAACGTGTTGATGTCAGCTATAAAGGAATTGTATACACGGAAAAAGAGAAGTATATTATTGGCAGATGATAGGATAGAGGCTAGTATTGTGGTGTAGTAGGTAAAGCCTCTGCTTGTGGTGCCAGCATCCTCTATGGCCACCAGTTCAAGTCCTGGCTCCTCCTGTGCTGGGAAAGCTGCAGATGGTCCAAGGGCGTGAGCCACCACACTGGTGTAGGAGATCTGGACCTTCCCGCAAGGCTCGCCCCGCTCATCCCCTCCCGCGAGTTCTTCTATTCCTCTTAACCTTCATATCCAGATTTCAACTTAAATTCCAACATAAAAGATGGCGACCTGCAGGAGCCTGCGTTGCTGTCAGAAGGAAGACGGGGCCAAGGTAACTCAGAGCCTCCGGCGCCCTCTAGTGGGGGAAAAGCAGAAGTGTGTCTGTCCGGGTGGGAGGGGGAATAGCGAAGCTGCACCTAACCTGGAGACCAGAAGGCAGCCTGCACCCCTCGCGTCTTGGGGAGCGGTGGGCAGGGTCCCAGTTCCTTCTGATAATGTCAGGAAGCTCAGAGATGGGCACAAGCAGACAGACCCGGTGGAGGACTTGGATGGGGAGGAGAGCCCGTGGTCGGGGTGGCCCCTTAGCTACTTGCACCTGCCCAGAGTCTCTGGGTGGTAGAAGTGGAGGTGGGCGTGACTCTGCTGCAGGCCTGCCTGGGAGTTTTGAGGGGCGCATTCCACGGCACCCTGGAAGCCAGGCCGACAGCAAGCACAGGAGTGCTGGGATCAGTTTCCAGCACTTTGGGAACTTGGGGAACGTCACCATCTCCTTCTCATGCGACCTCTCTCCCGCTGCCTCTCTGCATGCTCTCCCTGTCCTAACTGTGGACTAGGGATTTGCTCCAGGGGTTGGAACACTGCTGGGCTTGGTGGTCGGCATGTAGAGATGAGCAGAGGCCTTGCACGGATCTGGAGCCCTTGTCTTCTCTTGAATACAAGTCCAGGGGGCCAAGATGGGACATTCCCACAGGACAGGCTGTCTCCCCGCTCCTTCCTCCAAGGCCCCGTTCTTCCTTGGTCGTGCCCAACTCTGTTGTCACTTGGAACTGCGACTACCCTGTCCAGGCTAACTCCTGGTAACCCCATGTCCTGTATCCTGCTGCTGACCAGTGTTGCAGGGTGGGGGCGCTGGGAAGGGAACAGGTACAGCTCCACCATACCTTGTACCTGTCCAGAAATGAGTCAGCAAGGAGCCTGTTGTTCTGATACCAGCCAGCTGCTTAACACAGGGCATTCTTGGGGGTGCTGGGGCCCCTTTGCACTCGCCTGTTAGAGGAACGTGTTGTGGTGGCAGGATCCATTTGGTTCCCCAGCCAGTCTTTGCCTTCTTTTTCTTGCCCACCATTTATGTATCAGAGACAGATAAGATGTGCACCCCAGAACTGGGATAAGATGGGGCGAGTGATAGGCAGTGAGGAGGCAAAGGCCCAGGAGCTGACCTCTGCCTGACAACATTGAGAGGAGTCTTTATGGTTAAGGGTGTATGTGAGCTGGGTTTTGTGGTTTAAGTAGGAGCTTGGCAGAGAGAGGGTAGGAAGAGTGAGCTGCCCTCCTCCCCCTACCCCTGTGGTTTCACAATAGAATAGAAGAAAGGGTGGCTGGGCATGGGGAAATGTGCCCCGGTAGGGGGCTTGGTCACTTCTCAGCTTCAACTCCTTGTGGGGCCCTCCTTGAAGGGGGGGAGGAGCAGTGCACACAGGTGTGTTGAGGTGTGGGGGGACAAGGGCATAAGCCACTTACATGTGACAAGGGCACCTCTGTCCCACGGTGGGACGCTTGGCAGGCCCATCACTTACACTTTCTCCTTGTGCCAGGGTGACGAGAGCTGACCTCTAATCTAATCACATGCTATTTCTTTTTCACCCCACCCCCACCGATGGCCTGGACTCCACCTGCACATTTTTGAACAGGAAAGCCACGCAAGAAGTCCACCCTGAACCCAGAGCTGAAGAACTCGTCCACGTCCAAGTACAGTACATACTGTTGAACTCTCTTGGAAGTGCATTGGTGTTTGGAAAAATAGCCTTACTGTGTGTGGGTGCCCTGTGCCCACAGCTGGGGTAACTGACGCCGGAGGGGGCCATGACCCTAGCTGTAGCTCCTGTTCCTGTAGACCTCTGTGCACTCTGGAAGTCAATTACTACTTCCAGAAGCCGCCAGCCCTGCCCCTGGGGCCTCGGCCGTTGTGCACTGAGCTGCTCTGCCTGCGGCCTTGCAGTTTCACAACACTCAAATTGACTGAAATAGCAACATGAACATTTGTGGGTTTTGTTTTTTTTGTTGCTTAATATTCATTACAAAGGGGAGGAGTTGGGGATCGCAGACCCATATGGGCTGCTAGGAGGGTTGTGAGGGCAGTGAGAGAGATGTTGCCTGCAGGGGCGGTGGGTGGTGGGAGAGGAGGGAAGGAGGGTGCAGTGCTTCTTGCTGGGTACGTTACTGCTGGGGGTGGAGATGCTATCTTGATGCCACGTCAAGGACCTCGGTCGGGAAGATTGTGCAGGGGGTGTTACTGGAGTGTGGATTGACACTGGGCAGGGGAGGTGAGACCTCCACCCGTGGCCTCGAGCTTGTTTGTAGCTGACCTGATTGGAGCCTCTGCTGGTGAACCTTCATCACTGGACAGAGGCTTTCCCTGCCGTGGCTGTGTTCCCGCATTGTCTGGGTTGTCCTAAGATGGCCATGGCTGTGTTCCCCGCGTCGTCTGAACTGTCCCAAGATGGCTGTAGCTGTATTTCCTATATCTGGGTTGTCCTAAGATGGCCATGGCTGTGTTCCCCGCATCATCTGGACTGTCCCAAGATGGCTGTAGCTGTATTTCCTACATCTGGATTGTCCTAAGATGGCTGAGGTTGTGTTGCCCACGTCTTCTGGATTGTCCTAAGACATTGTTGGCTTCCTTGTATAAGAGGTGGCCTGTTCCATCGGGCCACACAGGCGCTCTTCCTTGTTTTCACTGGCGAAGTTCAGAAGCCTGTTGGTTGCCCATGTCTGCCTCAGAGCATCCTCAGATGCTTTTTGCAGTGTTGGGCCACCTGCTTTTCTCTCTGCCCTTTGAGGAGGTTCTTGAGGTCCTCTGTCAGATTGGAGGAGCCAGTCATCTTTTCTTTCGTGTGTTTCTCGGTGTGTTCTTCATCCTTTCTCTCGAGTCAGAAATAGAGGTACCCTCATCTTGCAGCATGCTCTCCTTGGCCGGACTGCATGTTTATGCCTTGTGCCTGAGATCAGCAATCCTGTGGGTCTAAGGTTCTCAGGCAATTCAGGTCTCCCTTCCTAGGCTACCTTGGCAAATATTGTAGCTGAGTCTTAAAACTGCCTGCTGCATTTCCCATATGTATCTGTGGATATGTCAGCCTATTGGGGGGGACCCCCAGAATCCCTACCAGGCTGGCCCCCAGCCCCAGCTCTCATGCACACTGGTGTGTACGTAGCCCGCTCAAGGAGACCCCCTGAGCCCCTACTAGGCTGTTCTGTAGAATTGGCTGTCTTGTGTGCCAGCATGTATAGCAGCCCACCCCCAGCCCCAGTCCTTGTGGATGCAGTGGCCAAACTTGTCCCACCCCTGGACCCACCTCTCATGCTCCCCAGTGACCCTCCAGAACCCCTACCAGACTCATGTATACTCATTATTTCCTGAGTTGCTAGCCCTCCACCCAGGCTGTGCTAAGGGAGCTTTAAGAAGGTAGATCAGTGCTGGCACAGGGACCCCAGCCCTGAGGAAGGCATATGGAATGGCACCAGTATACCCCCAGCAGTTGCCAAGGGCAACAGAGTTGCTTTATTTAGATTTCCTTGGGCGGCTCCACTTCTATGGCATTTGCAGGCTATTTAATAAAAGGTTTTTATTTTGAGATAACTGTAAATTCACATGTACTTACAGGAAATAATACAGAGGAAGCTCGTGTACCCTTTGCCATCCCTCTCCATCCGCCCAGGGTCACAACAGGCAGAGGTATGGTACAATATCATGGCTGGGCCCTGGTGCTGATACAGTCAATTAAAGCCGATCAGCACAGGCTTCTCTGGGTTGCCATTCCATCGTCACACCTCGTAACCCCTGGCAGTCACTAACCTGCTCCCTGCTTCTACACTTTTGTTGTTTCAGGACTGTTGTGTGAGTGGAATCACGCTGTGGTAATCTTTTGGGTTTTTGACCAAGCATAATTCTCAAACATCAGTTAAGTAACCGGGTCTAGCAATAGTCGGTTCCTGTTATTGCTGAATCATGTTCTATGAAATGAACAGAGTCACAGTTCAACTGTTCAGCCATCAAAGCGTGTCTAGATTATTTCTAGTTTGGCGCTGCGATGAAGCTAGTTGCTATAAATATATTCAACTCGTTGTGTGTGGACAGTTCTCATTTTTCCATGGGAGAGGCTTGGATGTGATGCTACGTAGGGTTCCTGATACATGCTGTCTTTTTAAAGAAATGGGCCAGGTGTTTCCTAATGTCTCTACCATATTACATTCCTGAGGGATCCAGTTCCTCAACATCCTCATTAGCATTTAGTATTTTTTTTTTAACTTAAGCAATTCTGCAAGGTACAAAATATTTTGTTGTGCATTTAATTTGCGTTTCCCCAGCAGTTAATGATGTTGGATATCTTTTCTTACACTTGCTTGTGTTGCTGTACCCTCTGGCGAAACGTCCTTGACTCATTTTCTCACTTTATAAAAATATAATTTGATTACTGAAGTTGAGAATTCTTTGGTAGATAGCACTCTTTCAGTATACATGGTGTACAAAGACAAAGTTTTAAATTTTGATGAAGTCCAGTTGGTTCTTTGTTTTATGGATCATCCTTTCAGTATCAATTCTGGAATCCGTTGCCAGGCTCCAACCCAAGGAGTTTTTCCCTAAGCCCATGATCCATTTTGCTGATGGAGGTCATTATATATGGTGTCAGGCTGTGACTGAAGGCTTTTTGCTCTTGCTTTTTCAGTTGACTGCTATGCTTTTGTCTACTTGGGCCATGCTGGACTCATTTCTTGCTCCTTGGATTCTGTTTGGTTTCACTCGTAAAGGCTCACTTGGGTTTGCCATTTGGCCTGGTGGTGAAGGCACCAGTTAGGATTCCTTCCTTCCACATCCAAAGACCTGGGTCTAATTCCTAGCCCTGGGTCCCAGCTCCAGCCTGCTGCAGTGCAAACTGTGGTTGGCAAAGGTGACAGCTCAAGTTCTTGGGTCCCTTCTGCCCAGGCAGGTGACCTACACTGAGTCTTTGACTCTGAGCTTTGGTCTGGACCAGCTGTAGCAATTACAAGAAATAATACAGACATATTTTGGAAGCAGACCAGTGAATAGGAGTTTGCTACCCCCTCCACACTCAAAAAAAAAAAAAAAAAGAATCCTTAAGAGTGCATAGGTGGACCAGCATGTAATGTCATGCAATGTGCAAACAGGGAGAGTTGGCTGTCTCTCTTTCTGGTCTATGTTCCCTTTACGTCCTTTGTCTTTGCCCTTCCTTTATCCTACGCTGAGTAAGAGAAAAGGGGACAGCTGCCCTTGCCAGCTCCTGGTCTTGAGAGGACTCACATGATCAATGTTAAGTTTAACGTGAGTTTTTTTTTAAGGTTTATTTATTTTGCTTGGAATTTATAATCACAGAGAAAGAGATCTTCATCCATGGCTTCATTCCCCAAAGGGCCACAATGCAGAATTTGCAAGTCTGAAGCCTGGTGCTTCTTCCAGGTCTCCTACATAGGTGCAAGGACCCAAGGCTTTGAGCCATCCTCTGCTGCTTTCCCGTGCTAGAAACAGAATGCTTGATGGGAAGTGGAGCAGCCAGGACTCAACCTGGCACCCATATAGAAACTGGCACTGCAGGCAGAGCTTAAACCTGCTACTTCATGGTACCCATCTTGTATTAGGGGATTTTAGCTGTAGATACTCTACCAAATTGAGTCTCCTCTATTCCGTTTTTTTTTTTTTCCTGAGAGTTTTATCACACATGCATGTTAAATTTTGCCTGATGCCATCTCTTTATCGAGACTCACAGGGTAACATATACTCCGTATCTTCCCTCGGAGAACTCCTTTTTCTCATGGTCTCAACGAACACTTCATGGGATGGGACTTGGGCGCCCAGGGTCAAGCGCCAAGCATTTTCGAAGTGCTTGGGTTGGAGTCTGGGCTCTGCTTGCCCTTCCAGCTTCTTGCTAATGCCCAAACCTGCATATGATGACTCAAGAACCTGGATCCCTGCCTGACTTATGGGAGACTGGGCTGAGTTCAGGGAAACTGGTTTCCACCTGGCCCAACCAGAGTTAGGAACTGTACCAGTAGACGGAAGACCCGTCTCTTCTATAGGTCTGCCTTTCAAATAAAAATAAATAAGATTGACAATTCAATGTTAAAGAATTGTGATATATTTGAGTGCCCTGGAGCTCTCTGCTTCAAAGTTATCATGTAGGGAGGGAGACGGACAAGGGATTGGTTAGTTACAAATGCCATTGGAACGATGAACTCAGAGGACCATGGGCATCAGAGGTGGGCTTCGGCAAGCCCTCCACCAGCAGACGACATCTAAACCAGGAGGCGAGAAGACCTGGGAAGGGTGCGCTTTCTGACACAGCACTGGGTTCTGTTGGAATGGTGAGGCCGTTCTCACCATCGTGAGATGGGAGAGGCCCAAAGTGGTAAACAGGTCCTGCACTGGGAGCCGGCAGGTGGTGAAGCCATCCCAGAAAAGCTGCACTTTGTCTCGAGCATTGGGCAGCTAGGGAGGACCGCTACGGTGTGTGGGAGGCCCAGTCAGATTCGGTAGGAGTCGACACTAGAGGTAGAGGGGCCAGTTAGAGCCTGTTGTCACAGATCAGATGACATACGAGGAACTGCCTAAACCATGTTCCAGAGGTTGAGTAAACTATGTGGGTTTCAAAAAAAAGTCTGTGTCAAAATAAACTCTAAAATATTTATTTGAAAGGCAGTGTGGTGTTCCTCCTCCAGTGTCCACAGCAGATAGGACTGGACCAAGCCACAGCCAGGAGCCTGGAGTTGAGGCTTGGACTCCCACGTGGGCAGCAGGAACCCATGTCCTTGAGCCATCAGCTGCTGCCTCCCAGGGTGTCCGTTAGAAGGAAGCTGAGGTCAGGATTTGAACAGACACTCTGATATGGGATGCCAGGGGTCCCAAGAGGAATGGTGAAGGATAACTCTGAATATACTCTAGTATAGCAACCAGGTTATGGTCTTGTCATCCAGGGCCATTGAGGGCATAGTAAGGGCAGGATTGAAAAGAGGGGAGTAGAAATTTCTTTTTATTATCATTGCAAAGTCAGATATACAGAGAGGAGGAGAAGAGAGAGGAAGATCTTCAGTCCAATGATTCACTCCCCAAGTGGCCGCAACGGCCCGTGCTGCACCTATCCGAAGCCAGGAGCTAGAAACTTCCTCCAGGTCTCCCATGTGGGTGCAGCGTCCCAAGGGATCCCAGTACTTTAGCCGCTAGGCCACCACCCTGGGCCCGGAAGTAGGACTTTGAACTCATCAATTTAACTCCTTAAGGGGCAGCAGTGAAGTGGATATTGATGACTGGCAGGAAGTTGGACACTAAAACCTAGAGCTCAGGTTGAAGAGATTGAGATGCAGGAGTCGCTGTCAGCAGGGCTTGAGCTCATCCTCAAACGGCTGGGTAGGATAAGGAACAGGACTAAAGGACAACTGAGGCAGGATTATGGCCTGGTGGTTACAAAGTCATCTGGGGGGCCCGGCATAGTAGCCTAGCGGCTTAAGTCCTCACCTTGCACGTGCTGGGATCCCATGTGGGCACTGGTTCTAATCCCAGCAGCCCCACTTCCCATCCAACTCCCTGATTGTGGCCTGGGAAAGCAGTCGAGAATGGCTCAAGACTTTGGGACCCTGAGCCCATGTGGGAGACCTGGAGGAGGTTCCTGGCTCCTGGCTTTAGATCAATGCCACTCCGAATGTTATGGGCACTTGGGGAGTGAATCATCGGACAGAAGATCTGCCTCTCTCTTCTCCTCCTCTCTGTATATCTGACTTTCCTATATAAATAAAATAAATAAACAAATGACTAAATAAATCTTTAAAGAAGCCATTTGGAATTGCTGCATCTGCATCAAAAGGCCTGGGTTCGAGTCCTGGCTTTGCTGCTAATTCCAGCTCCTGGCTAGAGTACCCAGGGAGGTATCCAACGACGGGCCACCCATGTGGGGGACCCAGACAAGGGTTCTGCTGCTGGTTTGGGCCTGGCTGAGCCCTCATGGTTGTAGGCATTTGGGAGTCAACCAGCAAGTGGGAGATGTCACTCTCTAGCCTTTTTTTGGTTTATTTTTATTTTATCTGAAAGGCAGAGTTGCCCAGGGAAGGGGGGCAAGAATCTTCTTCCAGTTGACTCCCTAAATGATCTCAATGGCCATTAGGTTCTGAAGGCAATTCAGAAATGAAAGCAAATGTGTTGATAGAAAATAGTTCAGAAATCAAACATTTCTCCCCCGTCCCCCTCTCTCCCTCGTGTAGCCGGCCTGAGAGTATCAGTTCCGAAGACAGTCTGGAATTCTTTCTCGATGAAGACATGGACGTTGATCTGGTAACCTCACCACGTCTCACTGAATCCTTGGGTTGGGTGACACACAGCTGTGCATTTCTGCTTTGGAAATCACAGTTTTCTGTCTTGATCATGCCACACGTTTCCCAGAAGCAGTGTGATTTTACTGATGTTTTCTGATTGGATGAAGGTACAATTTTGTCATTCCATCATTCAAGGAAAATATCGGAGGGTGATCGTGGGAAATGTGTGCCTGTGTGACAGTGCTTGCCGAGTTCATTGGGATGCGTTGTTGAAAGCTTGCTGTCAGACACGTGCGCACCTTCTCATGAGCTTTTGAAGTATCCTTATGTTGTCTGCAATCTTCCCATCCAAACAGCCGTTCTGTCGTTGCTGCTTATTCTTTGGGGCCTGGGGTTATTGGGGCGCTGAGCCAGGCGGTGACCAGGCCTTCAGCAGAGCAGCCCATTCCTGCTCCAAGCCCCACTTTAGCTACCCCACCCTACATATGACCACAGGAACTCAAAAGGAATAAAAACCACCACCCGTTAGGATGCTTTTTTTGGTACTTTGTTGTTTATTTCCATGATACAGCTTGTAGGTATGGGGAGTCCCCCCTCCTCCCTGCCTCCCGTTTGATACTGTAATAAGCTTTCACCTAGTCAGCAGGTGTAATTATGATTTCAAAACCAAACCAACAAAAGGCAAGAACCCATAACATTTTCCTGTCTGCCGTTTCTCGGGTGTGTGGTCCAGCAGTGCTGAGAGCGTACTGGCCACAGATTTCCGTTTCCATCCCGCAGCAGAACTTGGCACTCAGCAGGAGCTCCCCTCTTCCCCCTCCCGTGACCCCCCGACAGCCTCCACTCTGTGAGAGTTCGACTTTAGAGACTTCATGTCGGTGGGTGTTGTGGCATAGCACGTCAAGCTGCCACTTGGGATAGAGCCCCAAGGAGTTCTTGGGTGGGATGTTTCCTGTCCCGGTGCCTGTAGACAGTGTCAGCAGCCCCGCCCAGGGCTCTTGCTGCTCACACCGCTGGCCTGGGCAGTGCTTCTGGCTCCTAGCTTTGGCCCAGCCTTGGCTGTTGAGATGTTTGATTAATTAAACAGCAGAAACAAAAGGGCTCACACATTCGCTCTCTCAGCCTTTCAAATAAGACTGACAATGAGTAAGGAAACGTGCGGGAAAACAAGATAACTTAAAGCAGAGTTTCTGAACTTTCAAAAGCAGCAGATAACCCCATTTAGATGTAATCATGCAGTATTTGTCTTTTGTGACATTATGTCTGATGTCCCCAGCGTTCGCCTATGCTGTAGAATGTGACAGAGTCTCCATTTTTGGTTTTTGCTAAGATCCATTTATGTTTATTTGAAAGGCAGATTTGCAGAGGGGAGAGACAGCTCTTCTGTCTGCTGCTTGACTGCCCAAATGGCCACAAAGACTGTGGCTGAGCTGAACTGAAACCAGGAGCTTCTCTGGGTCTCCCACATGGGTGCAGGGTCCCAAGACCTTGAGCCGTCCTCCACTGCTTTCCCAGGCCACAGGCAGGGAGCTGGATGGGAAGTGAAGCACCCAGGACAGGAAGTGGTGTCCACACAGACAGAGGGTTCGCCTACTATGCCACAGTGTCTGCCCCTCCTTTGTTTTTAAGGGTGAATAATATTTCACTAAGTGCCCACACCACGTTGGCTTCATAATTTTATTCATCAATGGGCAATTCTGGTAGCTTTTTTCTCTTGGCAACTGTAAATAACAAAGCATGTAAATGCTTAAGTCATATTTTAAGAATAATTTTCTTATGGTAACACATACATAGTCTTGAAAATGTGGAAAAACTCCCTGCCCCAGCCGCCTTCTTTAGCCCACCTCTTCCTGTTGCCTTGCCTTTTTCCTGCTCATGCCCCACCTTTTGCTTTGGGCTTGCTTTCTCTCTGCCTCACCCTCTCCCTCCATCTTCCCAGCCCTTCCCACTTTCCCAGCATCCACGTGTCCTCTTGCTAAGAGCCAGGTCCCACAGGCAGGGGCACTGGGGTCCACCCTGGCGCCCCTCCCAGCAGGACGGCAGCCCTTTTCCTGCCCGTCTAGAGAAATCCTGCCTGCACAGGTGTCGTCCCCCCCGCCCCACCACTACGCTGAATCCTTTGTTCCTGACCCGTTAGGAGCCCGAGCTTTATTTCAAAGAGCCGGAAGAGTTACTCCAAGTGCTCATGGAGCTGGAGGAACAGAACCTCACGCTGGTGCAGTATTCCCAGGACGTGGATGAGAACCTGGAGGATATAAACAAGCGAGAAAAGGTGATCCAGGAAAAGATGTGAGTCGTGACAACAAGGGCTTTGGTTCTGTCCCGCGGTGGCTAACGGGAAACTGGATCACGTGGCTCTTCCTCCCCGACCCTCTACGTTCAGGCTGGGGTTTTTACTAATCAGGTTTTTGTTGCCGGATATCAAAGGTAGAAGTTAATATTGACACAGAATGGGCTGGCATTCGTTTGATTTTGCTCTCACTTGTTAAAACACTTGTTTCTAGCTGGTTATGAGAAAAGAGCATTTGAAAGACCAAAGAGGGTATAACTTGGCACCCACGGCCTTCATTTTGCTCCTAGGTACTTTTTTACCCTCTGCTTGGCTTGCGGTCACTTCTTCCAGCAAGTCATGCTTTGTTGGCAATTCTGAAAAATGCGCTTTCCTTCACTGACTCTCAGCAAAAACAAGGGTCACAGTTAATCATGCTGGTCCTTCTAATGGACCTGTCGGCACACTCGGGTTCTTTTTTTTTTTTTTTTAAGATTTATTTGATTTCATTGCAAAGTCATATATGTAGAGAGAGGAGGAGAAACAGAGAGAAATATCTTCTGTCCAATGATTCACTCCCCAAGTAAGTGCAACAGCTGGTGCTGCGCCGATCCAAAGCCAGGAGCCCAAATCCTCTTCCAGGTCTCCCACACAGGCGCAGAGTCCCAAGGCTTTGGGCTGTTCTCGACTGCTTTCCCAGGCCACAAGCGGGGAGCTGGATGGAAAGTGGAGCTGCCAGGATTAGAACTGGCGCCCACATGGGATACGGCATGTTCAAGGCGAGGACCTTAGCTGCTAAGTCACCATGCTGGGCCCACACTCAGGCTCTTACAGACAAAGAGTTAGGGATGACTTAAAATTTTAATGCAGTTATTACACTTCTGAGTTAAGAGGGTTAAGCAAGAGGGGACAGATCTGGGTACCTACCCATCATCCCAAGAGGTAGAACCTTTTTTAAAGAAATCTGCTGGGCTAGAAGATTTTTTTTTTTTTTTGCAGTATTTACTTACTTTTAGTGGAAAGACAGAGAAGGAGAGAGTGAGAAGTCTTCCATCTGCTGGTTCATTCCTCAGATAGCCACAACATCTGGAACTGAGCTGATGTGAAGCCAGGAGTTTCCTCTGGGTCTCCCACACAGGTGCAGAGGCCCAAGAACCCAAGCCATCCTTTGCTGCTTCCCAGGCCATATGCCAGGAGCTGGATCAGAAGCAAAACAACTGGAACTTAAAGCAGTGTTCATATGGGATGCTGACACACCACAAATGGTGGCTTAGTGTGCTATGCCACCACACTGGCCCCAAGATTTATTGTATTTGAAAGGCGTAGGTAGGACGAAGAAGAGAGGGAGGTTTTGCATTCACAGATTGATTCAGTCCCTGAATGGGCACAATGGTTGCATGGCTGAAGCCAGGAACCAGGAGCTGCTTCTGGGTCTCCCTTTGGGTGCAGGGGTTCAAACATTTGGGCCATCCTTCACTGTTTTCCCAGGCACATTAACAGGGAGCTGGATCAGGTGTGGAGCAGCCAGGACACAAACTTGAACCATGTGGGAAGCTGGCGCTGCAAGTGGAGGCTTAGCCTAGTGTGCCATAAACAGTAGGTCCAGATGCAGTTATCTTGAGAACAAATTAGTTTGTTCAGAAAGTGAGCACCCAAGGCACGTATTACTAAGCCACCCATTCCCGCTGCTGTAACTTTTCCATCTCCCGGTTACCCCGGTCTTCACAGCATGAGCTAGCACCCATATCCCCACTCCATGTGATTTTTTATTTTGGGGTACAGGATGAGTGCAAACAGGCAAGAGAAAGGGATCCTCATAGCATTGGTTTCTGGGGGTCTCCGTGGAAATCTTGAGGGGAGGGACGCGGGAGTCGGCTCCTCCCGGTTCCCCAGATGGCTTGATCACCCAGCCAGTCTGAGAACACTGGTGTAATGGCTCACAGTACAGCTGGACCTCCTGACCCCTCTGCTCTGCAACTATCTGGGGGCTGGGAGAGGGGACCCCACCAGTGGGAACAGGGAAGACAATGCCCTCAGATGGAAATTGAAAGCAGTAGTTGTCCATTTGTTTTCTCAACTTGAAATGCTGCTTGAACCTTGACCGTGTCTTGACTCCTATCTGCCTTCCTAGATCTAGATATTGACAATGATATTAAAAAAAGTTGGGGTTCACTGTGAGGTTCAGTGGCAACATCCTTGCCTTACATGCACCAAGATCCCATATGGCATTGGTTCATGTCCCGGCAGCTCTGCTTCCCTCCCAGCTCCCTGCCTGTGGCCTGGGAAAGCAGTCGAGGATGGCCCAAAGCCTTGGGACCCTGCACTTGTGTGGGAGACCTGGAAGAAGCTCCTGGCTCCTGGCTTCAGACCAGTCCAGCTGCAGCTGTTGCAGCTGTTTAGGGAATGAACCAGTGGATGGAAGATCTTTCTGTCTCCTTCTCTGTAAATCTGCCTTTCCAATAAACATGAAGAAATCGTTTTTTAAAAATGTTGAAGTGTTGAAGCTCCTGACATGTTTTGTTTTTGTTTTTTTCTTTTCCTTCCACCAAATGGTGACTCCCAACCTGGGGTCTCTTCTTATGCAACAGAAACAGCAACGTGGAGTTCCTGCTGGAGCACAAAGCCATGCTCAAGGCAAACTGCGTGAGGGAAGAGGAGAAGGCAGCAGAGCTGGAGTTAAGGTCCAGGCTGTTTAGTTTCGGAGAATTCAATTCAGAAGCCCAGGTAATCGTTCTTGACCTTCAGTCATTTCGTGTTGGCCCTTGATAGTAGACAGTTTGCATTCCTTGTGTACTTGGCAGAGGGGAGCTAAAGCCACCCACAAGGCCCACACAGCTGATGGAGGCAGAAAACCATTGTGGGGTTACCTGCCCGCCCATTTACATAGGTACAAAGCATTCAGATTGGTGTGGGAGTCTTATTGCTCTGATGGTTGTAAAATATATCAAAGTTCCTCCACCCTTCCGCCAGATGCTTTTTTTTTCCCCCAGTAAAGGTGTATATATCATGAAATGAACCACAGCCTGTGATGGCTCGGGACAGGGGGCAGTCAGGGTGTAGTTCAAGGGGCCAGCAACTAGGGAAGGCAGTGAATCAACACAGATATCAAAGAAGCAACGTTTGCTGCGCCCAGAGCCTGTAATCCATGGATTGTGGCCTGTCGGCCCTGCACAAAGCCGTGTGACACACAGCACACTTACTTGGGAACACGTAAGTTCCTCCCCCTCCCCCCAATTGAATGCAGACCCCTTGAGGACAGCGACTCTTAACCTTCTTACCTTCTTGTCCCTGTGACGTCTGCACTCAGGAAATGTTTGTTGAATAGAGATTGGATGAGTTGTAGAGCCCACAACAAAGGCTGGCTGACACTGCTTTCCTTGTCAAAGCCTCCAACGAGACAAACGTGGAAAGCGTACATGGGGGGCTAGCAGCAGTTCTGGATGTAAACCAGAGACAGATTTGGGAGAACTGTATCAGAAAACAGCTGTCCTCCACGTGTGGGCAGGGTGGAAAATCAGAGCTGGTGGAGGCTCTGTCACACATTTCTTGCGGTGTCCCAGAGCCCTGAGTTAGTAAGGGTTGTGTTCCACGTGCCTGGAACAAGAAGGGTGACTCTGGCCACACTGAGATCTCTCAGCATTGCTGCAGCTTTCGACACCACTTTGCTACTAAACCCTGTGAAGTGGGCAGTTCGGTGGCATTCAGTGTTGGGTGACCACTGTCGCTATGTTCATAACTTTTGCATCACTTCCATGTAAAATTTTACATTTTACCCATGATCCTATGTACAGGTCGTACTCATAAGTGCATGCACATAGTTTTGCAGCCCATCTGCAGACTTGCTCCATGAAAACTGGAGCTCTAGCCTTGTCAAACACCAGTTCCCCCATTTGCCCTGGCAATGTCAGTGTCTGTTTTTTCTCTCTCTGAATTTGGCTCTTCCGGGTGCTTTAAATAAACACAACTGTACAGTATTTGTCATTTGGAATCTAGCTTATTTCAGACAGCATAATGATTTCAGGGTTCCTACATGTTATCAGAATTTGATTCCTTTTTTACATTTTCAAATAATATTCCATGGTTATAAGGGCAGACATACTTGATCCATTCACCTACTGATGGCTATCTGGGTTTTTGGCACACTTTTTATTCTGAAGGTGGGTGTTGTGGAACAGTGGGTTAAGCTGCCACCTGGAATGCCAACATTCTGTATCAGAGTGCCTGGCCACTCCACTTCTGATCCAGCTTCCTGCTACTACGCACCCTGGGAGGCTCAAGTGCTCGAGCCCCACCCACTCATATGGAAGGCCCAGTTTAAGGTTCTGGCTGTTGGCCTCAGTCTGGCAGTCTCTGTTGTAGGCTTCTAAGCACTAACCCAGTAGATGGAAGATCCTTCCTTCTGTCTCAGTAGCTGAAAGTTCTGTTTCTCTGCTACTTAAACATTAGGTGGTGAATAATTCTGAAGCTGCAAAATGTGAAATCCATAGCTGGGTCTCTCCCTCTGCCAATCCCAACCCAAACCCTTTTATCCAAGATTGGGGGAACCATGAAAAAAGGAGGTGTTTCCCTCCAGGCCGTGGCGCAGCTTCTTGCCAGCCCCCTGGACATCTTCCCTCAAAGCGAACCACTTCCCTAACTTGGCTCCATAGACGTGGACTCATGTGATACATCTAGATTCTTTCCTGTTCATTGTGTTTGGTTGTGTTGCTTGTTCATGGAACATGCAACGGAACATAAAAGCTTTCCTGTCGTTCAGTGTGCCAAGTGTGTGTGTGTGTCTGGTCTTCCCTTTTGCAGAACGGGCTTGCAGTTGAGTTGGGAGAGCTGTAAACAGGCAGCACACAGCTGGGATGATCAAATCCTTGAGTTATATGCCCCTGTGCTCTCCCCAGTTTGAATGCTTTCTCCTAAAACATTGCTGTGGTCCATTCACCTCTGGGAGGCGTGACCCTGACCTTCTGGTTACTGAATCTGCCACAGTCCTGCCTCATTGTACTGGGAGTCACCTCCTCCTCACAGCCTCTCATCGAGGTACCCCGGGCTGGCCCTGCCATCTGGTGGCAGAACCAAGGATCAGTTCTATATGTTGTTCTCTATCAACAGGCCTGGACCCTGTCACCCTTTTTTGCCTTCTCTGGGGCAGGCCTTCCATCTCTTTCTCATACAGGAGTCCTTCACTCTCATTCCCCTTACTTCCTAAACTGTCCTTAATTTCAGAATATCCCCTCTTTTATTCTCCTGTTTGATGGTGATCAGTATGCTTTTAGTGTGTTTTTAAAAGAGATTTATTTATTTATTAGAAAGGCAGATTTACAAAGAAAAGAACAGAGAGAAAGGTCTTCCATCTGCTGGCTCATTTGCCTAATGGCCACAAAGGCCAGAGCTGAGCCAATCTGAAGCCAGGAGCTCTTCCAGGTCTCCCACATGGGTGCAGGGTTCCAAGGCTTTGGGCCATCCACGACTGCTTTCTCAGGCCATGAGCAGGGAGCTGGGAGGGAAGTGGAGCAGCCAGGACAGGAACCAGACCCCATTTTTGGATGGCTGGTGCTTAGAGATGGAGGATTAGTCAGATGAACCGCTCTGCTCATGCTTTGTCAGTTCCACTGTGGCAATATCTTTCACATGCAATGCACAGTTATTTCAGGTTTTCCTACTTGTGTTAGGAAAGCCTACAGGTTTCTAAACCTGACATATCGTTACATGAACAGGAAACATAGGGTAGTATTATTTTAGGAAAGGGAACAAAGGGGCTTTAGGGCAACTAGGGCTTAACGTTGCTTTTCCCTTTTTGTTCTGAAAGGGTCATTTTAAAAATAGGAACTACAAAGAAGTGTCAGAAAAATGAAATTTATTAATTGTTTTTTTAAAAGATTTATTTTTATTATTTTTTTATTGGAAAGGCGGATATACAGAGAGGAGAGACAGAGAGGAAGATCTTCCATCTGATGATTCACTCCCCAAGTGAGCGCAACGGCCGATGCTATGCCGATCCAAAGCCAGGAGACTCTTCCGGGTCTCTCACATGGGTGCAGGGTCCCAAAGCTTTGGGCTGTCTTCCACTGCTTTCCCAGGCCACAGGCAGGGAGCTGGAAGGGAAGCGGGGCTGCCAGGATAGAACCGGCGCCCATATGGGATCCAGGGCATGCAAGGCGAGGACCTTAACCACTGTGCCACCGTGCCGGGCCCTATTGATAAATTGTTAAATTGAGTTGGGATACAAAAACTATCAGAAATACACCCTTGGTACCAGATCTTAGCTTGTAATTAAGTGTCGGATGGATGGAGTCTGTGGTTCCAGACGGGGTTGGCCTTGGCTTCCATAGCCACATCTGTCTTGAGTGTGTTATTTGTCCTTGGCTTTAGGGTCGGTCTCTTCTTGAGCAGAGTCGGGAAATGGGGAAGGATGCTACCTGGAGAACGATTATCCTTGCCCAGCAGTTTGTTGAGATCCTCTTAGCTGCAAATACCGGGTCCCCAGTGGAGAAAGAGAGAAGTTCTCTTTTGGTCCCAGGACACGTTACCTACAAGCTCAAGAATCTCCACCAGCAGTTAAAATGGCGCAGTGCCGAGGTACAGGGATCAGCAGGGTTTGGCCTAAGCTTCTGTTTAGAATACTGCCGTGGCTTCCCATTGGAGAGGTGAAGGCTCCTAAGCAGGCTTTGTACGCCAGCCTGGGAATCTGTTAGCTTGCAGACTTGTTCTTCCGAGAATGCAGTTGTGCAGACATTAAGTGCGTGGGTCTGTGCAAGGCGCTATTTTAGATCTAAACCTAAGACGTAGCTCCTGCCCTCCACATGCTTAAACTGTCACACAGGATGACTGTAGTGTTAGTGAGCCTAAGAAATACAAATACAAAAAGGGGAGGAGGCGCATGTATTTGCTGCCAGGAGATATATCAGAGCCATACAAAAGGATTAAAAATATATATATGTGTGTGTTTGTGTATTACCTTTCCTAAATGTTTACCAGAAATATGAAAATATTCAAGCAAAAAGGATCTTCCTAATTTTTTATGCTGGCTTAAAATATTTTTAATAATCAGAGCTGTTGCTATAGTAATGATCTAACTAAATTATGATACTGATTAGATGTGTTACATTTCTCACTTGTCTATGTCATTTGAAGTTTTTCTGTAAAAAACTGCTGGTAGAACATAAAGAATCTTTTCTATGTAACACACTAAGGAGTTTTACATTCACTGGGAAACCAGATAGTGCTGTGATGTTTTCTGTCCCTCTCTCCTTCTCCATCCACCTCAGGAAAAGCTGATTGAGTCACTCAGCAGAAAGATTAACCAAGTGTACAGGGTCTGCATTGGGGATGCAGAGGTTGGCAGTCTCAACCCAGTGCAGAAGCTGGTCAAAGTGGAGTCTCGCCTGGTGGAACTCAGTGACCTCATCGAGTCTATCCCCAAAGAAAACGTGGAGGCGATCGAGAGGATCAAACAGAAAGAACGGCGGCAAAAGTACGGTCCATGCGTCAGGATTAAAGCAAAGGGGTCTTTTTACGGGCTGGGGGAATGGGCCCTTGGGTTGAGCACTACAACTGCGTGAACTTGTGTGGACAGCTATCACGTGGCACAATCATTACCTGTCAAGATGAGCCCTCAGTGGGAACCTACTGTCCGCCTGTCAGAGTGCTGGAGCGCCACCCAGTGGCCTCCCTGGGTATCTGCCACTGCCCACGCAGCATTTACACATGAATTGTTACTCCTTTAAACCACATGATGAGGCTGATGGTCGCACTCATCCTTGCCTGCACGGAGCCTCTTCAGAAGATGTATAAATTGCCACACCCAGTGACACATGTCTACATACATTGTCTGTCAATCATTACTCTAACAGGTTCCCGCTAGTATGGTGTGGCTGTATATGTGTGTATATGGGGGCGGCCGGGTGGTACTTGTAGAACGGGCACGGGCACAGCGCCTGCCTGCCTGCGCACTGTGACTTGGGCAGCAGCGTTACCTCATGAGTCTGTTGGCACTAACAGTACTTGCCACCACCCGGGGCTGCTGTTACCTAACCTACATCAAAGTAGGAACGCTCGGCATTCAGTAAGCACTTCCATGTTGAGCCTGTTGACCCACTTGCTCCATTGCTAAACATGGAGAAGGGCAGTTCCTCCACAGAAAAGCAAACTTGGGAATATGAAAGTGACCCAGAGGGGATCTACCGAACTTAACTTAAAATTTTACTCCTGTAAGCTGCTCCACCTCAACTGAGGACAGTAGTAACAGCCGGGGTATCTAGCAGAAGCTGTGTTCTCCAGGAAGAAGTACAATTTGTTTTCAGCACTGATACACTAATCTAATTCCAGGGATTCTCCTCCTTACTCAAGAGGGTTTTAGTTGATTTTCATCGCAGAATAGAAATTCCTAACAGCATCAAATTTCACACTGTTACAATGCTTTTAAGTTAGTAACTTAGAATTGTATGGCCCATTAAAATAGCTACCATGTGGTAGTGAATGCCCCTTCTGTACAACTTATATTCATGTATGTAGCAATGTCATGTAATTTTCCCTCACAGCCAACTCTTAAGAGTAGCACTTGGTCTTTATTCAAAAGATCAACTGGAAAGCACTGGCGTGGTTATTCACTGTCCAACCCACTTGTGATTTCTGTACAGTTCCATTCATGTGACAATTCCGTGTTTTAAAATGGTTTTCCGAAGGGAGGAAAACACCTACAGGCTCCTCCAAGCAGCTGCTGACAGCTGAGCAGTGAAGTGCTGGAGCGTGTGGTGCACTGGTGGGGACTGGTCTCCCTTGGCCAAGATCTGGGTAGCTTTTACTTTTACCAAAATGATCAAGCGAAATTTCTTCCCATTTCAAAACAGGACTTAAGGTTTTCCTGGGTATCCAAAAGCCATTGTTATAGGTAAGGATGGAGTGTGTCCATTTTACTTCACCATTTCACCTTAAAGGGGTTCCTGTGTTTAGAACATCACCAACTAGTAATGATGTGCATCTTTTTAACTTTCTGTGAATTAGAGTATATGAGAATGTTTCTCTCCTCTTGTGTGACAGGTTACGTGAAGAAAAAATGAAAGAGAAGCAGAAACATCAGGAAGAAAGGCTGAAAGCTGCCCTGGAGAGAGCAGTGGCCCAGCCAAAGAAAAAGGTATGTGCTTTACAGCCACGGGCCTGGCGCGTCAGGGCCTAGAGCAACACACCTTGTTGGTCTTGTAATACACTCAGGTTCAGCTTTCAGTGAAATAAGCTTGCTTGTCTCACAGCTTCAAATGCTGCCTGCTGGTTCCTCGTTACTTTTGTAATAATCCAAATATCTAGGTCTATGTACAATTCCATTAACTGTTGGTTCACTCCCCAAATGTCGGCCTAAAGCCAGGGCTGGTGCCCACATGGGTGACAGGGCCCCAACTACTTGAGCCGTCCCCAACTGCCTCCCAGGGTGTGCAGGAGCAGGGAGCTGGGATCAAACGAGCAGCAAGAGAAGCAAACCTAGGCACTAACTACAAGGCTAACCACCCACCCAGCAGGGAATTCTTTTTTTAAACAGATACTACAGGTCTGTGGTTCAGAAATTCCAGAGATGGAAACCAAGACCCAGCGCAGTCAATCTTCTCTATTCTCCTTGGGTGCAGTTATCTTTTGACACTCAACTGCATCCTTCTGAAAATCCTCTGTATTCTTTTCATTAGGAAAGCTGGCTATGCACCTTGGTTCTTTGATCCAGTGCTGTCTTAAGGAATACTAGTGAGTCTTCTAATTCCCACAGTATAGAGGACAGAAGACATGAAAAGAACTTGTCCAGTCACTTCCAATGTAGAACTGGAACCAGAAGCCAAGATTCCATCAAAAGATAACCTCTCTAATCAGCAATGTGTGCACTGGCAAGGAGCGAGCAATTTATCTTCTGCCCTAGGCCATTTGGATATCTAACATTTGCAGGCCATACAAAATCAACTTAAAAATAGTAGCTTGCCAGACTTTTTGATTCCCACATGGAACTGCCTTGGCAGGGCCAGATGCTCCCCACTCCCAGGCTGAGTTCATGTGGTCCATGACTTACACAGTGCCTGGATGTCTCTGCATGCCTTGCTCCTCCCTCTGGATGTATTCAAAGTACAGAAACTCAAGACTGCTACAAAGCTAGCGTGGACATACACTCTTACATGGGAGCACTTGCTTGGGAGCCTTACAAGCAGCCCCTGTAAGCAAGAACTTTAAAAGTTTATCATGCTAACTTGAAATAGTCAAAATGTGAGGACTGTGATGGTGCTGTCACATAGCAAGTCAAGCTGCTGGCCTGCAGTGACAGCACCTCATGGGTATGGGTTTGTGTCCCAGCTGTTCCTCCTACGATCCAGCTCCCTCTTTATGGCAATGGAAAAGGCAGCAGAAGATGGCTCAAGTCTTTGAGCCCTTGCCACCCACGTAGTAGACTAGGAGGAAAGGCCTGGGCCTGCCTAGCCCTGGCCATTGCAGCCATTTAGGGAGTGAACCTTTCAAATAAATAATGCATCTCCAAAAAAAAAAAAAAGATTAAGTTGTTTGAAACACTACCTTTAAAATGATCTTTATCCATTTCAATTCCATTCTTCCTATGAAGCAACCTTTCTAAGGAAGGGCTCACCCGGTTATCACTCTTCCCCATGTGTTTACTACTAGTCTGTCCTACAAGATGAAATTGTTAATATTTTTACCAGTATTTATTAAGATGGATTCATTTATATGAATGGCAGAGAAAGGAAGAGGGGCAAAGGAAACAACTCCCACCTCCAGGTTCATGCCCCAAATGGCCAGTGGCTGGAGCTGCACCTGGCTGGGCCCCAGAAGCTTCTTCCAGGTCCCCCATGTGGGTACAGGGGTCCAAGCACCTGGACAGTCCTGTTGCTGTCCCAGGCATGCTAGCAGGGAGCTGTATCAGAAGTGGAGTAACTGGGACTCCACTGTGCCTGTATGGGATGCTGGTGGCGGCCAGTCTAGTACATAGTGGATGCTCCATGAATGCTTGCTGACTTAAATGAGAATGAACACCAAAACTGGAAGAGAAAAAGTCACATGATGGTTCAACCAGACACTTTGATACTTAGTACCCTTCAACAGGGGAGACCTCAAAGTATTAGCAAAAATCACTCAAGATCTGTTAAAAACACTTGAAAAGCATTTTGCAGATTTTTAGCTCAAGGACATTTTTTATAATACTGGAGAGAAGTATAGCTCGTGATTAACATCCTATGAAAGCAGGAGTGTCAAGGACAGTTTCACATGAGAATTGTCTTTTAATGTCAGTGGCACAGAATGATGGGATACACTGCCACTTGGGACACCCTACTGGGCATCAGAGTGCTAAAATGAGTCCTGGACTGGAAGCAGATGATGTCCCACGTGTTTTTGGTCTCTGCCACCCACATGGGAGACCTGGATAGGACTCAGGGCTCCAGGCTTTGGCCTCACCTGGCCCAGCCTTGGCTGCTGTGCAGATTAGGGGAGTCGATTGCTAGATGAAAGCCCCTTCTGTTACTCTGCCTTTCTAGTAAATGAAACATACGCACTTAAAAGAAGTGTCATTAGTACCGCCTCTGAGACAAAGGTGGTAATTTCTTCACCTATTTCATTTATACAACTTCTGTTACAAATCAAAAATGGGAGACAAAGGAATCCCCAAACACACACAAAACCCACTGAGCAGTAGCACGAGTGCACAGCCCCAGGCCTCTCCTGACAGGAACCCTTTCTCAAGCCAACAGTGACAAGGATGCTGAAGGCAGCACAGGGGTCTCAGGAAGCCCATCCCACCAGAGCTGAACTGCATGGCCTTTTGGGACATGAGATGTTGGTCTCCAACACAATGCTTTTCAGGGCTAGTCCTGCTGAGACCCCATGCTATATGATGCCACTATCCGTCTCCCCATTTCCCTATACACCTAACAGCTCTGACTTCACATCTCATGGGTGCTCAATTTGCTGTTAGACATCCACTAGTCATCAATCCCAACTCTTAGGCCTTGTGAAAGTCAACTTAATGGTATTGTACACGCTTCAGTAGAAATGGTTATGCTAAGAATGGCATTTACTTGTTCCAGGTGGGAAGAAGACTCATCTACCGTTCCAAACCTCCATCTGCTAACAAACACACAGTGCTTCTCGTCAGCGACACGAGAACGAAGACCATGGAGGAAGAGTACTTTTTTGCTTGAATGGCAGACAGACATAAGGTTACTAGGATGCTTCAGGTGTAATCTGTAGATCTGGGCTTTCAGTAATGGCAATATGCTGTTTCATTTACTGTCCTATCGATCTGAGGAACAAAGGCCTTTTTAAGGCTGCTAGACTGGGAATTTTTTGGAGAGTCGTAACTATCACATTTATGTGTATATGTTTGTGACAAAGTGAGGGCTGTGCATCTGAAAACAGCTTGCCAATGTAACTATCTGATGACAGTTAAGGGTAATAGTGGCCATTCTGACAACCTGAGGATTGTTTTCTCAGCCCATGTCTAGCTGTGGCATACTATTCTAACTGAAGAATGAATGGATATTTTAAGATTTATACACTGTTACAAGGTATGAACAGTTTTGATGAGTTTAAAAGTTAAAGCTACTAGCTTATGGTCTTAGACCTTAACAAGATTTTTTATCTCATAGTAAATTCTGTCCACCATCTGTCTGCATCCTAACAAACCATAGGCCTGCAGCCTGTCAGTCAAAATTTCTACTGTGCTCTATTCTCCACAGAGAACATAACATTATCTATTTTGTATTTTTACTTAGTTAAATTCTAAGAAAATGCTTAACTTTATACATGCTGTAGTTTGATTTTAAAAGGTTTCAGTTAATACATAATACAAGCACTGCTACTCACCTTTATAAAAATTGCTAGGCATCTACGGAAGAGTACTTTGCCGACCAAAAGCAAACCAAGTTGAGTAAAGCTGAGTAGCTTTCACAGCATCAGTTCTGTAGAATCATCTTCAATTGGGTGAACATTATATGGACAGCCCACAAGTTGAAAAAAAAAATTTATTGTCTATAAATTTACATATAAAACCCCCCCACTAAAGATGCTATTCTCTCATTTCCCCATCTTCTTCCTCTTCTTCAACACCTCTGATATAAAGGACATTATTACACCTAAAAAAGAGAAAAAAGTTAATTTTGTGGTTTTAAGTGGAAATCATGAGTTGAATATCTATCTGCTAAGATTGTGAATGCTACTCCTTCTCTTTAAAAACTTTCACATAAAGATTTGTTAAAGCACATGGCACTTAAATGATTTCCCAAATAATTACTAGAACACAAAGGTTTGAAGCTACTATTTGAAAGCTGTTATGACAAAAAATCCTTACTAAACAGATTTGAGTGAATTCAAAACTACACTCCCAGAATCAAAGCCATTGAAAAAGGTTACAGCCAAAGGCCACAGAATTACTGATATTAGAAATATCTTCAGGGTGAATAGCCTCACTGAAGTCTAGTTGTACAGTATTGCTAATTTTTAACAAAACTGCTTGTGGCACTAATTTAAATGGGCAAATTCTGCTCATTATTAACTTCTCCAGCACATGAGTGTTTACCTTATCAACACTTCACCCAGATGTCCAGATAATGCACCATCTATGTATTCTTCTGTATTTGCAAGCTTGAAATAAAAGGAAATTATTAGCATCACTGCACAAAAGGAAAATTGCAAACACTTAATACTGGTGAGAAAAAAACTTATTAACTGCAACCTTTCCATGCCAACTTAAATTTATCTGTAATTAATAGTGAGATTAGCTGTTACTATTAAGTACTTTTTGGTTTCACATAAGTTTGATAAAATTAATGTCCATGAATGTAGGATACATAATAAAACTTGTTTCAAAAGTTAAGCTTTCCAGTTTACATGTAAATTATAGTTCTAATATTTCAAACACTAAATTTCTACATACAAGTCATATGGAGGTATGCAAAAGCTATAGCTAAAATAAATCTACAACCAAAGCACTGAGTACAATGGATGCTCTGGGGCCTTTACTGTGACTGATGAAGAAAAACCTGTCCCTGCAATCCCAGCATGCCATGTGGGTGCCAGTTCAGGTCCCAGCAGCTCAAGTACTTGGGGCCCCTGCATGCCCCGCCCCACCCCCCAGACCCGGATGGAGTGCCTGTCCAGCCTGACCAGAGCAACCATTTAGAGACAACACAACAGAGGAACAATCTTTTTGTCTAACCTCCTCCCTGTAACTCTGCCTCTCAAATGTCTTCAAATGTCTGCACAAACAGCAGAAGTTAATCGGGTAAGAGTGACCTTTGTTTTTATTCAACAAGCTATTTATCATTCTATATCAAAATGTTAACTTTCTGTGTACACTCAGGTAATAAAAAAATACAAAACAGACCATTTTCATTTATTTGAAAGAGTTACACTCTGATTTCCTTCCCAGTCAGCCTAAAGCCAGGAGCTCCCTCCAAGTCTCCCACATGGTGCAGTGGACCAAGCACTCGGCCATCCTCCCCTGCTTTTTCCCTGGGCAGAAGGAGCTGGGAGGGAAGCAGAACAGCTAGGACACAAACGGGCCTGCTTTGCATGCCAGAACCAAAAGCAGCAGATTTGCCCAGTTCTCTGTAATGCCAGCCCCAAACTTGTGTTGTTTTAAAATATGGGGCTGGGCTCGGCGCAGTGGCGCAAGTGGCCTTGCACGCCCGGGATCCCATATGGGCGCCGGTTCTATCCCAGCAGCCCCGCTTCCCTTCCAGCTCCCTGCCTGTGGCCTGGGAAAGCAGTGGAGCACGGCCCAGAGCTTTGGGGACCTGCACCCGCGTGGGAGACCCGGAAGAGGCTCCTGGCTTCAGATCGGCATAGCATCGGCCGTTGCGCTCACTTGGGGAGTGAATCATCGGATGGAAGATCTTCCTCTCTGTCTCTCCTCTCTGTATATCCGCCTTTCCAATGGAAAAATAATAAAAATAAATCTTTAAAATATGGGGCTGCATCCAGCTCCCTGCTTGTGGCCTAGGAAGGCAGTCGAGGACAGCCCAAGGCCTTGGGACCCCGCACCTGTGTGAGAAACCCAGAGGAGGTGCCTAGCTTTGGATCGGCTCAGCTCTGGCCATAGTGGCCACTTGCGGGGTGAACCAGCAGATGAAGATCTGCCCCACCCCTTTCTCTGTAAATCTGCTTTTCCAACTGAAAAAAAAAAAATCCTAAAAAAAGGGGGGTGTTTACAATTGGGCTTTGCCAGTTCAATTCCCAGCTGTTTCATTTGTCCAGCTGGAAAAAAAAAGGTACCTCAGTGCCATCTGGGGCTCATAAACATGAGTGGCCAGCATGGTGGTGGAGCATACTAATTCTCTGCTCACAGTTGCCAGTATCTCTTACGGGCACCGGTTTGAGTCCAGGCTGCTCCACTTGCAATCCAGTTCTCTGCTTGTGGCCTAGGAAAGGCCTTGAACCCCTGTACCCAGGTGGGAGACCCAGGAAGCTCCTGGCTTCCCCTTGGCCCAACTCTGCCAACCATTTGGAGAGTGAGCAAGCAGATGGAAGGTCTCTCTGTAGCCCTTTCAAGTAAAATAAACAAACCTTAAAAATACAAAACACCCATGAAGGTAGACTGCTGCATTTACAGTGCCATGCACTTAATGGGCACGCCACACACCTCTGCTGAGCTGGCAGACTCCAAAGCTACTGTCAGTATGGTTGGCCACTCAGTCTTGCAAGCTCAGCAGGAACCTGTTACATTCTAAAACCAAGTGTTAAGTGGATGTTCTTTTTCCTTGGGTATATAATATCCATGCTCTAAATCCACTGCTTGTAAGTCAATAGCCTTAATACACTCATGCAGTTGCACCACTCTCACCAATCATTCCAAGACACTTCCATCAAAACGGTTTTGCTTTGGGGCCAGTGCTGTGGATTAAGCTACTACCTACAGTGCTGGTAGCCCATATGAGCACTGGTTCAAGTCCTAGCTGTTCCACTTTGATCCAACTCCCTCCCAGTGGTCTAGGGAAACAAGAGGATGGTTCAAATGTTTGGGCCCCTGCACCCGAGGTGGCAGACCTGAAAGACATTCCTGACTTCAGACACGCCTCAGCCATTGTGGCCGTGCGGGGAATGAGGCAGTGGATGGAAGACCTTGTGCTCCTCTGACTCTGCCTTTGAAATGCCGTCTTAAAAATAATGATAAATGGGCCCGGCGCAGTGGCGCAAGTGGTTAAAGGTCCTCGCCTTGCACGCCCGGGATCCCATATGGGCGCCGGTTCTAATCCCGGCAGCCCTGCTTCCCTTCCAGCTCCCTGCCTGTGGCCTGGGAAAGCAGTCGAGGACGGCCCAAGGCTTTGGGAACCTGCACCCGCGTGGGGGACCCAGAAGAGGCTCCTGGCTTCGGATTGGCATAGTATCGGCCCGTTGCGCTCACTTGGGGAGTGAATCATCGGACGGAAGATCTTCCTCTCTGTCTCTCCTCTCTGTATATCCAACTTTCCAATGAAATAATAATAAAAATAAATCTTTAAAAAAAAATAAATAAATAATGATAAATGGTAAATGATTGCTGTTTCAGGAATTTTCTTGACCAAAGCCATCTTAGTGTCATCTAGTAAAGTGGAAGATGTTTAAGCAAACTCTCAGCTCCCTACCCAACAAAGTACTCCTGTCAGTATCCTGTGCGCAAGTATGCAATCCTCCAATTCATGGCTGAGCCACCACCCAGCTAGGTAACCTTTTACAATGTGCTTGGAAACAATTCCAGCCAAAGAGCTAAAAAAAGGGGAAGGGGGCAAAAAATAAACAGCTATTTCTCCAAATTAGATAAACAAATGACAACAAGCACATTAAAAGAAATCCACATCAAAACCAGAAAGACACCATTTCACCCCCACTGGAACCTTTACCATTGCTGGTGGAAACGCAAACCTCTTTTGCTGTGGCAAGCAATGCGGCAGTTCCGGAAATAATTAAAAGACAGAATCGCCATGGGAGCCAGCACCCCTCTGAGCAGACACCTGAGAAAGCAGGTTATTTGGTGACTGTTAAGCCATCAAGTGTTCCTAACAGATGACTGGGCTAGTGCAGTGTGACCAGACTCAAAAACAGAAACATGGTCAGCCCCTGCAACCTGTTAGAGATGGTTCTCTCCTGTCACCAAGGATACCAAAATCTGAGGATGTCTCAGATCCGCTCTGTACGACAGCACAGTAACTTGAAACTAAAAACTATGCACATCTTTCTATACGCTTTACAATCATTGCTACATTACTCACGACAATGTCTTTATTCAGGAAACGGCAAAAAAGGCCTGTATATGTTTGGTTCTCACTATATGACTACTCCTAGGAGTACTTAATTTCAGAGTGTAGGAAAGCGGTTATTAACAAAGTATGGGATGTGGAGAGTTACTGTTTAATGGGTAAAGGTTTCACTTTCGGATAATGAAAAAGTTCTGGAAATGAATACTGGTGGTAGCCGTACAATAATCTAATTACTATTGAACAGCATCCATGAAATTGATTAAAGTGAACAAATTCTAATGTGCATTTTGTATCTATAAATAATTTTATGGGGCCAATACTGTAGGGTTAACAGATAAAGCCACAACTTTTGACACTGGCATCCCATGGGGCACTGGGTCCTGGCTGCTCCACTTCCACTCCTGGGAGCAATGGCGGATGCCCAGGTGCCCGGGCCCTTGCACCCACGTAGGGAACACAGATGAAGGTGCTAGCTCCAGGCTTTGGCCTGGGCCAACCCTGTCCATTATGGCCATATAGGGAGTGAACCAGTGGATGGAGGATCTCTAATTCTACCTTTCAAATGAATAAATCTTAAAAAAAAAATTCTTATTTAATAGGCACGCAGATAGTTCTTTTAGTTAATCTGTCTTCTCCCTGAAGAAATGCATCTCATGGATTAATCAAGTATTACCCTTTTAGCATTCATTTAAAAAGATGCGTTTCACTTGAAAATTTTCTTTCACATCTAAGTGCTGGAAGGAGTTTTGCTTTAAAAAAAAAAAACAACCTATAATTTTGCTTATTTAAAATGTAGTTGGGAGAGAACAGAAAAGGGAGAGGAGAAATACTGAGAGAGGGGAAGTAATGGGGGGCGTATTTCTGTCCAAGCTAACTCCCCAAATGCACACTGTAGTTGGGGCTGAGGTCTCTCATGTGGGTTCAGGGGCCCCAAACACTTGAGCCATCCTCCCCACTGCTCTCCCAGGCCCATTAGCAGGAAGCTGGATCAGAAGTGGAGCAGCCAAGACTCGAACCAGTGCCTACATGGGATGCTGGCACCGTAGGCAGGGGCTTCCCCCAGGATATGCAACAATGCCAGCCTCCTAAAGTTTTGCTTTCGCCAGCAACTACAATATTTCCCTTACGATATTCTGATTCCAACACCTAAACTTTCCTTACTTGGACCAGCAGGAGGAACACTGCTGTGACACATGGTACGACCCCCTTCTGACACCTAGCGAGTCTGTTAGAACCACACTCTCTGATCTCGGCTTTATTCCTGTGCTCGACAGTGGCACATACCTACGTGTATGTGGCATTATTGGCCCCAGAAACCCATGCACAAGGAGCCAGAGGACCGAGCCCAGCTCACCTGCATGTTCATGTAGCCGTCCACAGACACCAGGTAGCCCTTGTACTCCATGCCCCATTTCAGCTTCACCATCACCGGCTTTCCCGTTAACCCATTGAGGAAAGGCTTGGGATTGAGGGGCAAACTCTGCACGGAAACAAAAGGATCCAAATGATTTCTTCCTCCTTGACCTGTATCCTTGTTCATTCTCCTCTACCAAGTCACCCGCCGTTTAATAACACGCAAAGGCTGCAAGCCCCTCGCTCCTGATTGCCCGACCAGGTCATCTGCACTTTGTGGAAGAGCAGCAAAAAAATTCACGTGGTTAACCCGGTTTTGCTCGACAACGCACGGAAAAATCCAGGGCTCAATTAACCGCTCAGGAAGCTCAGGTGAAAGCTGTAATGACAACCCCTAGCCTTAAGAGGCTGCGAGGGGAGTGTGCAGGCACACGTGCAGATCGTGGCATTGCAAGGGGGAAGGAAGAGAGGGGCGACCAAACCAACAACGCAGGGAGAAAAGGCTGGTCCGACACGACCCATGTCTATAGAGGGGAAGTTATTCTAGAAGGAAAAGGAAGCGGCGGAGGCGAGAGACTTCTTAACGTACAAGGAAAGAGGAATAAACAATTTTTAAAGAAGGTTATCCTGAAAACATCCCAGCAGCTCAGTTACCGTCAGCATCCCTCAGCGGGAGGCGCAGCCCACACCTCCCCAGCAGAGGACTTGGGGTGCCTCTCCCCGCAACACCACCAAGCATCCCCAACGAACCCAACCATTTCCCTCCTCCCCATCAAGCTCATCTCCTCGCCCCGCAGACTGCAGACCAAGGCGCGGCTGCCAGGAGGCCAGTCCACTCGGTGGGCCCCTGGGGATCACCCCGGCGGCAGGTGGACCCCAACCCCGAGCGCCCCGGGGAGCGCGCCGACCTCTCCACCCCCGACATCCCCTGAGGGACCGCCGCCCGCTCCCCTACGCCCGCCCGAGCGCCCGGAGCCCCCCACGGGAGGATGGCGAGGCCAAGGCGGCCGGAGGGGCCGCGCACAGCCCAGGGCGCGCCGAGCCGGAGCGCGCCCCACGCGCGGAGGGATGGCAGGGGCGGCCCACAGCCAGACCCGGCTCTCCCGCCGCTCCGCGCGGACGTCCCCCCTCTCCCTACCATCACGACTTCGGGTTCCTCGCCGCCGACACAGAGCCAAGGCCGTCCCGCGCCACCGGAGCAGCTTCTCCCCAAAGCCCCGAGCCGCGCTGCTCAGGGAGAAATGGCCGCCAAATCCCGCCGTGACCTCTCACCGGCCGACGCCGCGCTCTCGCCTTCTGTGATTGGTCAGAAAGAGACGCGTGCTGATTGGAAGAGCTTAGGGCAGTGTTTCCTAGCAACCAGAGATCTCTCCGGCCTCTGGTAATGGCTGCTGGGGTCGCCTAGGAAACGAGGCGACGCTGCAAAAGTCGGCCTTTCAGGGCCGGCGCGGTAGCCTAGCTGCTAAAGCGCTCACCTCGCACGCGCCTGGATCCCGTATGGCCACCGGTTCTAATCCAGCTCCCTGCCTGTGGCCTGGGAAAGCAGTCCGGGACGGCCCAAAGCCTTGGGACCCTGCACCCACGTGGGAGACCCAGAAGAGATTCCAGCTCAGTTTGGGGAGTGAATCAACGGATGGAAGATCTTCCTCTCTGTATATATATGACTTTCCAATAAAAATTAAATAATTTTTTTAAAGTCGGTCTTTCTGGCCCGGCTGTCCAGTTTGCCCTGCTGCCTCGAGGGCGGGCTGTATCTGTTTATAAAAGGACAGTGAGTCCCTGTGTTTGCAGGCGCCCCTAAGATGCCACCTGCATATCTCACCTGAGGCTGCAGCAGGAGCTGGGCTGAAAGCTGACCTGGTTGAGGCTTTTCCATAACTTGAGAGTCACATCACAGCGGCGCATCTGTAGGTAGACAGCGGAGGGGCGATTTTAGCACCAGGTGGTTGGAAATTCTGCATCATTCACCAGTCCACTCTTCCCCCTCATCAAGCCAATGGCAACCTTAAATCTGGTTTGGATCTTGAAGGATTTACCTGTCTTGGAATACTTCATTTAAATCAAATGACACAATACGTGACCTTTCGAACCTACCTTTTTTCACCAGTAACTTCCCCCTTTTTAGTATTTAGAATGCTATATTTAGAAGCTGGCATAATTTGACAGATCATTAGAGAAGGCTTGATTTTTTTTCCCCTTAGTAAACATTACAGGTTGGGAATAACAGATTAGAAATACAATCTGTTACAAAAGCAGTAGTCTATGGTTCCCTTAAGAATCTGACAGGGTGCTATACTGACACGGCATATAACATGCTTTTTTCCATTGTACACACCTGACTGGGGTAGTGCTTGGGTTTGTGAACGGTCGTTACACAAAGCACATTTATCATGCTAAAAGAGAAAAAAAAAAGTTGACTCATCAGTTTCATATCATTTTTCTTCAAATGGAAAACTTTAATGTGAAACAGTTTTACTAATGTATAAAGATAATATTTTCTAAATGTTTTAGAAACCATGTTAGCATATACTTTGTCTGGGTTTTCTTGTGGCTAGGAAAGGAGATTTCTAAGGAAACTAATCATACAAATCATATCTTGGTTCTGTGTATTTTAATAGTCTATCTCTACTTAAAAACTAGACAGTAGGGCCCAGTGTGGTAGCCTAGTGGCTAAACTCCTCGCCTTGCACACTCCAGGATCCCACATGGGTGCCGGTTCTAATCCCGACTACTCCACTTCCCATCCAACTCCCTGCTTGTGACCTGGGAAAGCAGTCAAGGACAGCCCAAAGCCTTGGGACCCTGTACCCACATGGGAGACCTGGAAGAAGTTCTTGGATCCTGGCTTTGGATCGGCACAGCTCTGCCTGTTGTGGTCAATTGGGCAGTGAATTATCGGAAGGAAGATCTTCCTCTCTGTCTCTCCTCCTGTCTGTATATCTGACTTTGTAATAAAAAGAAATAGATCTTTAAAAAAGAAGAAAACTAGACAGCAGGGTGCTGGTGCAATGTGCAGGTTAAGGCTCTAGCCCTGGAGCTGCCATCAGATTGGCTTCATTTGGAGTCTTAGCTGCCTCACTTCCCTTCCAGCTGCCTGCTATGGCCTGGGAAAGCAGCAGAAGATGGCTCAAGGCCTTGGGAATCTGCACCCACATGGGAGACCCAGAAAAAGCTCCTGGCTCCTGGTTTAGGATCAGCTCAGTTCTGGTTACTGTGGCCACGTGGGGAGTAAACCAGCGGATGGAAGATTTTTCTCTCTGTCTCTCTTTCTCTCTGTAAATCTGCCTTTGCAATGGTTTTATTAAAAAAAAGACCTATTGACATTGATGTGAAATATGAGTTAAATATCCATGGCTGAAACTTCACATTCCACATGTCCTGTTTTCTTTCCCTGGGCTGGCTGTGTCTCACTAAGTGGTGGATCACTATAGCACAGTACAAACGGGCAAAGCAGAAATGCACATCTCAGTGGATACTCATCTCAATCTTCATGAGAAAATAAGGTTTTGATTTAAAAAAAAGCAAACAAACCCTGATCATAAAGTCTTGGGTCCCAGATCCATCCTGAGATGTCCTCAGGCGTCGGAAACTAACAATCATTCTACCAACTCATCTGAGAAGGACGGTTCATCTGAAAGAACATTCCAAGTCACTTACATTGTCTAAATACAATGTTGCTATTACGCCTCAGAGGAGTCACACTCTTAGCCTAGCACGAGCAGCGATCTGAAATTAAGCCACCAGATTCTGAGTTATGTCTATTTTCAAGATTCACCCATGATCTAGCACGTAGTACCCCACTTCTTCCAGAGCTGGGTAATATTCCATAGTAAACATGAGGTTTCCAAACAGCGCACGAAAAACACATATTTTAAAAAACTACATATGGATTTCACTTTCTTTGCACCAGTATAAACGTATCTTTGGATTCCACTTTGCGCATGAGTTTTTTAAAGTGCCCTCATGCATTGCGCACTGTGTTGGTCCTTGCCTCTGTGGATGGTCACTTGGGGTGCTCCCGCCGCTGGGCTGCTGTGCTTAATGCTGCCCTGGACGTGGTGTTCAAGGGTGTGAGTCCAGGAGAAGAAGTCCTGTGCTCAACTTCCGGAGGCTGCGACCAGTGAATGACAGCACCAACTTCCCCACACTCTCGCCAGCACTTCCTCTTTTTGCTGTCTCTCACTTTAGAGCTCTCCCAATGAATAAAAAGGAGCATCTCATTATGATTTTGATAATTTGATTTGCCTTTCCCAACTTAGACTAATGATCTTACCTTCCCATGAGCTATTTACCTGTTTGTAAATACATATACACACACATACAGCTATGTGGGTGTATATATGTGTGTAATATGTATGTATATATGTGTGTGTGACAGACAGATGCCTGTTTAAACAAGTCCTGTATACCTTTCTAAGCATACTGCTTTTAGAATCCTTTAATATATTGTTTAACTTAAAATTATACTATGTTTAGGGCCTGGCGTGGTGTCCTAGCAGCTAAAGTCCTTGCCTTGAACACGCCAGGATCCCATATGGGTCAGGTTCTAATCCTGACAGCCCAACTTCCCATCCAGCTCCCTGCTTATGTCCTGGGAAAGCAGCAGAGCATGGGTCAAGTCCTTAGGTCCCTGCACTCATAAAGGATGACCTGGAAGAAGTTCTTGGCACCTGGCTTTGGATTGACTCAGCTCCATCCATTGCCGTCACTTCGGAAGTGAATCATTGTACAGAAGATCTTCCTCTCTCTCTTCCTCTCTGTGTATCTGCCTTTCCAATAACAATAAATAAATCTTAAATTTTTTTTTAAAATACAGTATTTTTAAAGATGTACTTATTTACTTACTTGAAAGACAGAGTTACAAAGAGAGAATGACAGGAAGGGAGAGAGGGAGGGAGGCCAGCCTTGTATCCACTAGCTCCTTGCCCAGTGGCTGCAGCAGCCAGCCAGGGCTGGGCTAACTTGAAGCCAGGACCCTGTACTCCATTTGGGTCTTGCATCTAGATGCTGGGCTCCAAACACCCGGGCCCTCTTTCACTGCTCTCCCAGGCCATTAGCGGAAGCAGGGTTAGAAGCAGATTAGCCAGGTACCAAACCATTGCCCGTATGGGATGCCAGCATCACAGGCAGCAGCTTAACTCACTACACCACCCCAGTGATTTTTTTTTAAAGATTGATTTATTTTTATTGGAACAATGGATTTACAGAAAGAAGGAAAGACAAAGATCTTCCATTTGCATGTTCATTTCTCAAATGGCCACGATGGCCGCAGCTGAGCCATTCCAAAGCCAGGTGCCAAGAGCTTCTTCCAGATCATCCATTATGAGTGCAGGGCCCAAAGACTTGGGCCATGCTCTGCTGCTTTCCCAGGACATAAGCTGGGAGCTGGATGGAAGCTGGAGCAGCCTGGACACAAACCCATGCCCATATGGGATGCCAACCTTGAAAGTGGAGGATTAACCAGTTGAGCTATCACATTTCCCCACTCGCCCTGTAATGATTTTCAATAAAGTCACTAAACTGCTTTTTTGCTACATTTCCATCATGTGTACAGTGGAGTTAGATTAAATCAGCATTTTCAACCTCAGTATGACATTTTGGGCTGAATATTCTTATCACTGGGGGCTGGAGGCTGGCCTGGGTATTGTGGGATGTTGATCAGTGCCCCTGGCCTCTGCCTACTCCTCCCCTGCACCAAGAGTGACCACCCAAAGTGTGTCCAGCCATTGCCACATGTCCCCTAGCAGGAGTGGTCCCTGCAGCAAGCCCGCTGTTAGGACACTAGTTCATACATACAAGTCCCTGTACCTGGAACACTTTGAAAACAGTATCAAGGCTTTAAAGCCATTCTCCTTACTAAGCAAATAAAATGCTTTTCATGAACATGAAATCTACCCAGTTATAGAACACTGATCAGAAGTTCTGATTAGCACTTCTTTTTGTAGCTGATGCCTGAAAATGAGAAAGCTAATAACAGATAACTTTAAAAAATTTCTTTCAGGGGCGTGGCCTAGCGGCTAAAGTCCTCGCCTTGAACCCGCCGGGATCCCACATGGGTGCCGGTTCTAATCCCGACTACTCCACTTCCCATCCAGCTCCCTGCTTGTGACCTGGGAAAACAGTCAAGGACAGCCCAAAGCCTTGGGACCCTGTACCCACATGGGAGACCTGGAAGAAGTTCCTGGATCCTGGCTTCAGATCGGCATAGCATCAGCTGTTGCGCTCACTTGGGCAGTGAATTATCGGAAG